CTTCTTTATTATTCACAACCTTAGCTGTGATAGGTGTTTTATCAATAGTATACTCTATGGGATCGACAGAGTCTTCACCATTTTATCCTCTCCAGATACATAGAATGTTGGAAACTAGAATATGAATACGAGTGCTACTCATAGCTAAATCAGTATTGTCATTAAAGAATTTCTTCAACTATTCAATCCAATGAAATTCTTGTAGAAAAGAACAACAACTAATATCCTTTCCTAGGAGTGAAGATCAGTTGCAATGGGATCAACTTCAATAGCTTCATTGTTTTTATCTACATTAGCCTCCACAAATTTCCCTCTTCAATATTCTTTGGGAGAAAGAATAATGGAGAAAAAAATTCACTCGAAAACTTGCTCTAATTTTAATCCTTGAAGTTCTCTAAAAATATCACAAAGACCCCTTACTAGTATTCTTCTTGATTTTCTCTATTCCTTCAAAGATATAAAAGAAGAATAGGAAAGATCTTAAGGAAATATGTTAAAGCGTAATTATAAACTTGAAATAATCAAATGTCTCAATTTCACATCAAATCAAGAGAAGGATAAATAACATGTCAAGCTTAAGATCGCCTATGATGAATTGGGGAAAATAGCTAGTTCTCATATTCTTCTCAATTTCCTAGAAATCATATAAAAATCGTGAAATTAATATAAACCCAACATCTCATGGGTTTAATTTTCAAGTGTCACAATTATAAGCTGATTTCAAAGCAAATCGCTAGCAAAAGAGAAAGAGATCGCCACAAAGATGAATTCAACAAAAGCAGTAAGTATACCTCATTATTGAACTTGTCAGTTCAAGCCATCGAAGCTACTCAGCACAAAAATTTGTTATTCAATCCTAAAATTACTTGAACTGAGCACTAGTTTGTATTGAGCATAATGATTTTCAGGATCCAACAAACCAATTTGCTATTGAAGTCACCAAACAAACCAAATTAACTTAACAACTTAAATGAAGTCATCAATGACTTCATTCAAACTCATCATTAACTTGGAACATGTTTGGAGTTCTTTATATATTTTAAGAACTATAAGGTAGCTACATAAATTTATTTTATATCAAGCATTTCTCAAACTTAACTATGTAATTTCAATTTTATTTTGTCAGCCATATAAATTTATCCCTTCATTCCAACCTATAAATGAGAGGATGGCGGATTGATCTTAGACACAATCATATATTTGCTATGCAATTATATGGCAAACAATGTTATTTCACGTATGTTTTTAGTAAATGCAAGTAGTGTTTTTTTCTTTATTATTCTTTATAAAATTTATGACGGCGCCTCATCTGGATGAAATTTATTTTTCCCAAAAACTATTTATCGAACTACGCAACCTATATCATTTTGCAGAGATTACTACGTGCGGATCGAAACTGTGCCTATTTTTTGTCATAAGTCTCACTGTAGGTAAGCAAGCCTTATTTGAAGATTTTTCGGTGACTTTACTGTTGGCAAATTGTTTGGATGGTTTTACAGTCAGGCATGGAAAGTGGTTACTGTCTAAACGATGATGATAGCTTGACTTTGAATACTCTTGGATGGTCTTCGGGCAACCAGAGTACATGTTTTCTCAACAACTTTAATCGACTACCTGAGTTCATAGCAGAATGATGACTTCGTGTTGTCATCGATTTTTTATTCAGAGACATTTTCTTTTCTTTTTATTATAGTCCTTATGTAATATTTTTTTTTAGTTTTTTGTTCCTTATTGGCTTATTTGTATCTGTACTCTACTTCTATTTAATAAAAATAGCTTAGGCCAAAAATTCCCCCAAAAAAATGGTATCAGTTTAATGCTTAGAATATGAATATCATTTTAAACTCATAAATGATAAAATAAGAAAATTATACAAATTATAGTGAACTAATGAAGTTTCTATTTAAACTATTAGCATATCTAATCATTAAGATACATTATTTATTTTAAAATTTGAAAGTTAATATTTACATCCATAACGTATGAATTCAAATTAAGCAATAACAAGGATGTTTGATCAGTGTAATTATTAGTATTTTTTCAAACTTGAATTATAACCTTATTCTTTTTTACTACTTATAGATAGAGATGTATTATCCTATATTTTAGTAATTTTAAGTTAATTATTTAATAAGAATTATAAAACTTTTATTTACTTGAAGACAAGTAATAGTTTAAGCTGAGAGAATTTGATAAATGTAAATAATGTATTATTTTATGTGTAATAATTTTAGTGAAAATGTGTTATTTTAATTGTGTTGTGCAGAAAAAATATATAAATGGTACAAAAAGCCTAAATATGATCCAGCGCCATGGAATTAAAATGGTTAGGTTAGCAGCGTCGTAGCATTACCGCAACATTTGAAAGTCAGCAGCACCATAGCGCAGTAGTTGTAACTTCCAAAGGACATAATCTTCCATTAAAGCAACATGAATGTTCACTAAGTAACTGATATACATCAGTAGGCACCGCGGCGGGGCAAAAACATTAATGCATTAGTGTTAGTTCATTTTATGGGCACTGCAGTGCCAATCTTTCAAGCATCTCAATGCTAGTTGCCTAATTTATGGTTTTCTATAAATAGCTATTGTGTTATGTTTGTAAGGGATTTCAGACACTTATATAATTTAGTGCTTGTCAGAGTACTTCTTTAGATCTCTCTTAGAATAAACTCTAAGGGAGACTAGAGAAGTACTAGATACAATCATTAAAATGTTCAGTCAGTATTTGTTTAAGCAACTCCTTATGTTAAGAAAAAAGAAGTGTAGAGGAGATACATTGATCATTCTTAGTGATATTATTTTCGTGTATTTTCATTCTTCTATGATTTCAATGAAAATAAGTTTGCATATCTTTTTACTTCCATGTACGGCTAGGTTCTTAAGGAGATTAAATCGATGTTTGCAAACCTAGACATAAGATGTAAAATATGTTAGGTTCTTAATGAGATGATATAACTATAGGAGGTCAGTAGATATCCTTTTCACCTTTAAAAGCTCAACAGAGCTAGGAAATTATATGCTCTGAATTACATTACAAATTAGAATTTCATTAGGAAAGATATACAATTTAAATTCAACAATCCAAATCCCTTTTCATCCAATATTTTACTATTTTTTATTTAGTGATTGAATCTCGACAACCAATATTTTTATTTCAATTGGATAATTTTGCAATTAGAGTCAACAATAGTAGTTGATTGTTAAAAAGCATACATCCTCGTGGGTTTGACACTATACACTATCACTTTATTACTTGAGTTGACACATAAACTTGCATATATTAAGTGGGATTTGTTATGTTTATATATCAAAGAAAACCTAAGCATTGTTTAGGGAAGATAGAGCCTTAAACATTTTTAAAATAAAAAAGTGTATTCCACAGCCCCCATCATATCTCACTAATGTTTGTTCTCTCAAGATCAAAATCATATTGAAGAGCAAACATCATTTCCTTCATTGATCCAAAGTATTTGAGTATCCCTCAAATGTACTCATTGGAACTGAAAAATATTGGCTTCATAATTAGTTACTTTGACCTTAACAATTTGAAAGATTCCCTAACATATTCTAGAACTCATGCTTCTTTCGTTGATTCTTTATGGGAAACTTCTTTATTATTCACAACCTTAGCTGTGATAGGTGTTTTATCAATAGTATACTCTATGGGATCGATAGAGTCTTCACCATTTTATCCTCTCCAGATAAATAGAATGTTGGAAACTAGATTATGAATACGAGTGCTACTCATAGTTAAATCAGTATTCTCATTAAAGAATTTCTTCGACTATTCAATCCAATGAAATTCTAGTAGAAAAGAACAACAACTAATATCCTTTCCTAGGAGTGAAGATCAGTTACAATGGGATCAACTTCAATAGCTTCATTGTTTTATCTACATTAGCCTCCACAAATTTCCCTCTTCAATATTCTTTGGGAGAAAGAATAATGGAGAAAAAAATTCACTCGAAAACTTGCTCTAATTTTAATCCTTGAAGTTCTCTAAAAGTATCACAAAGAACCCTTACTAGTATTCTTCTTGATTTTCTCTATTCCTTCAAAGATATAAAAGAAGAATAGGAAAGATCTTAAGGAAATATGTTAAAGAGTAATTATAAACTTGAAATAATCAAATGTCTCAATTGCACATCAAATCAAGAGAAGGATAAATAACATGTCAAGCTTAAGATCGCCTATGATGAATTGGGGAAAATAGCTAGTTCTCATATTCTTCTCAATTTCCTAGAAATCATATAAAAATCGTGAAATTAATATAAACCCAACATCTCATGGGTTTAATTTTCAAGTGTCACAATTATAAGCTGATTTCAAAGCAAATCGCTAGCAAAAGAGAAAGAGATCGCCACAAAGATGAATTCAACAAAAGCAGTAAGTATACCTCATTATTGAACTTGTCGGTTCAAGCCATCGAAGCTACTCAGCACAACAATTTGTTATTCAATCCCAAAATTACTTGAACTGAGCACTAGTTTGTATTGAGCATAATGATTTTCAGGATCCAACAAACCAATTTGCTATTGAAGTCACCAAAGAAACCGAATTAACTTAACAACTTAAATGAAGTCATCAATGACTTCATTCAAACTCATCATTAACTTGGAACATGTTTGGAGTTCTTTATATATTTTAAGAACTATAAGGTAGCTACATAAATTTATTTTATATCAAGCATTTCTCAAACTTTACTATGTAATTTCAATTTTATTTTGTCAGCCATATAAATTTATCCCTTCATTCCAACTTATAAATGAGAGGATAGCGGATGGATCTTAGACACACAATCATATATTTGCTATGCAATTATATGGCAAAACAATGCTATTTCATGTATGTTTTTAGTAAATGCAAGTAGTGTTTTTTTCTTTATTATTCTTTATAAAATTTATGACAGCGGCTCATCCGGATGAAATTTATTTTGCCCAAAAACTATTTATCGAACTACGCCAGTGCGCGCAACAAAAACATAATAAAAAACAAAGTGTTGAACAGTAATTATATTTTTACTAAACCTTTACTACATACACTTATGAAAACCGATTCTCCAACTCGGAATCCACAGGTAATAACCTCTCCTCATCTTGAGCTGGATAACCAGCAACAGATTACCTGAAATTATGGTAGGCTAACTAATGGAAAAGCAGCAAATCGTCGGAACATAATACGATGTAGCATAGTTATTCCCACTTTTTGGATTTATGCAACAGATTGAATATCACCGAGCTGAGGAAGAAGAACTAGGGCAAACTAATCAAACCTCTCCGTGATCCAAAACATTAAATGCTATAAGCCTACATCTTACTTGTTTCACACCTGGGAGCCACTTGGACTACCTTCTGCCCGCACTGTCCCTATCAATGGCAGTTTAGTCAAGTTAGTAACAGATTTCCTCTTGCGCTTGGCTCCAGAACTCGTTGTTTCTATGCACTTGACGCCTTTTTTCTTAACTTGGTCGGAACAGTAGGAAAAATAAATCGGGGCAGCACCCTCCCTTGCTTCCATCGCACATTCATTTCCGACGGTTAGGATGGAGACGATGGGGCATTCTTGCCACCCGAGCGAGGCAATATCTTCTAGGACCTCGTCCAGAGACAGCTCCTCATTGGTGGAAGATTTCAACATACGTTCTCCGACCGTCGATCTCCCCGGAGGCGTCAGCTCCACCGAGCGCAAAGCATCCAGTACCCTTGACTGCGATCAGTGATTCAGAGAAATCAAAGGTTCAAATAGGAGAATCGAGTAAGAAACCGTTGCGAGGAGACTTACCTTGTTGATTTGGTGCACCTTGACGAGCCCGTTAATGCGTGCGATCTGATCGGTAGAGGAATCGATTCGAATGTTTTAGATCCAGAATGCATCAAACATGACAGTTCTCTATAGAATTATTGGGAAATTGATGATAACAGAGGCAATAAAAAAGCAGGGGTACCATGATGGAAGAGGGATTCCTTTTTGTCCAAAATCTTACTCAGAGGGTAAGCGTTCTCATTGAATAAATGGAAGAATGCATGGTTTCGATTTTCGAACTTTGGGGTAAGAATTCTTAAATACAATCTAGAGAAAACTGGAAGAAACGAGAAAAAATTAGAGAAGATAGAAACCTTTTTTAGCTGATTCAAAGTGAGAACTAGCTCTTCCTTGTTGAAGAAACGAACATATTCTTCGAGGCAAAGTTCCTTCGCTCCTCTCATCACTGTTTCATTCGTTGTGCTCTCGTTCGTTCTATCTCAGCGACCATCTGTTGCTCTTTTATTCCCGCTTTATGGAAGTTGCTGGTGAGATGGGCGCTGTTTGGCTATAGATGAATGGTCCAGATTAACCCTTTTAAGCTGTGAACGCTTTATTTAAAAAATATATACTAGTACAAATACGCTTAACAAAATTTAAAAAAATAAGAAAAAAATTTTAAGAAAAATCAAATTATCATGCATCTTAATTACAGGTGTTACTAAGAACTACTTTAATTAACACTCTGAAAGGATATAATTTAAGAATAAATTTCTCATTGAATCACAAAAGACATTCTAACATAAAATCGATAAAATAAATAAAATAAGTGTGCTAAATTACTTTGATAAATTACATAATATTGATAGCTAAATTGTAACTCCCAACAAGAATGAACATAATTATTTTTGCAATCATCATTAGCTTGCAATGAATGCAACTGAAGGTCAGTTAACATTAGGAAAAAATTATAAAAAGCAAAATAATGCAATAATTATGAATTTGCTTTGCTACAATAATAAATAGATAAATAGTTGAATTAAACGACACCCCAAATAATATGCAATTGCTTTACAAACGCTTATCCTCTTATTAGAGAACTATTATTTATTGTCCTTAACGATATTAGTAATTCATATTTAATTAAGAGAAAAGAATCAATAGTTATATTTTAAAGCTAGCTTTTCAATTGTTCAAATAGAAAAATCCCAGGAAAGAGAAAGAGCTTACTATAAAAAATAAAAAATATTAGGTCAACTACCCTATATCCAATTAATTTGTCCAACTTTTCTACTTGATCTTCTTAATTAATTGAATTACCATTACATAAAATGAGAAGTGAGTGATTTTCCCTATTTATACCAATTACTGACGTGAAAATGTTAAGTGGCAACTAAACGATGATTAATGATCAAATGATGCCTTCTAGAATTATAAAATGATAAATATTCATTGCCTTATTCATCAATTGGAGAATGATAACGATGAGATGATTGTGGAGGCCTTGGTATTAATGTATTTAAAAGTTATATTAATTCTAATACACACCAAATATGCTTCTTATATTCATCACAAGCCATGTAATAATCCTATAATCTCTATAATTAAAACTATATTTAAATGTCATTTATATTCATATATATAATCCTATAAGATGCCACCTTTATTTTTTTGACCAATTTCAAACAATCAAGAACCTATTCAAACTATTATGGAGGGCAAACTCTTATCGATTACAAAATCCTATCATGGAAACATAAAATGAAGTAAATATAATCAAATCAAATCACTATACCAATTCCAGACAATCAATAGCTTATTCTTCTTCTTCTTCTTCTTCTTCTTTGTGGGGGGAGAGGGATAAATTTAAGGCTGACTCACACACACATCTCATACAAAAGACCCAAACCCAAGATCTCTTATGTTAGTAGCCTAAGCCCCCAACACATCAAATGTGAGCTATGAAAATAGCCTCGTCAAAATCATCATAGATGACAAACGCTATTGGTTACAAGTCTAGCATGCCATATTTCCAATAGCCTAAACACCAAAATTACACTTTAAAAAGTAGTACCATCAAACAAATAGGAAACTAAAAAATAAGAAAATTTTCACATATTACAAAATAAAAGAAAACTAAACAAAGAGTAATCCTAATCAGATGGATGTGGAGGAGGTGGTGACTAAAAGTACTGGTGGATTGAATCAAACATATTCTAAACCACTCCAAATCCTAATCTTGCTGCTGTGCTGGGCTACATACTGTTCGAAGCGAGCTAAGTCATTCTCATGTTACTATTGTTACTCAGCTATGTAGGCATCAAAATAGTGCTCCCATTGATTAGACCTCTAGACCAGCTGATTGAACTGAGATTGTTGGCGAATAGGAGCAAGTGCTAAAATAGGCACTCTCTCTTCTTCTACAGTCTCGTTGTCCACATATCAAACATTACGATGATGAGCACTATGAAAAATGTGAAAGGATCTATTTGTGTATTAAACTTGGAGGTGATTAGGTGGTGTAGGATATTGGAAGTTGTATTTGGTTTCTATAATAAAGGAAATGATATGTCCTAAGGCTAGATTGTTCATTCTCTTATGGCGGGGATCTCTAATAACGGTCAGATGTTCAAGATAGCATGCAGATAATATGGTCAGCTGCATTGAAGTCAATTTGAGCTATTATTAAATAGGTTGTAAGAGAAAGAACAAAAGTAATGCTGATTCGATCACCACCTTTAGGAATGACAAAGTTTCTAAGTATGTGCTAGAAGATTCAGGCATCCTGAACTAAAGTGTTTACATGGCTATGTGATATCTAAGATTGGATTACTAAAGGGTAGAGTTGGCAGGGGTCCAATCAAAATCAGGATTTGTAGCTAGAACAAAATTTTGTCTACAAGTGTGTCTAAGCTATCAAGACATACTACTCCCCCTTTTGATATATCAAAAAGAGGAAGAAATAACATCAAATAAATAGGAAACTAAAAAAATAAGAAAATTTCACATATTACAAAATAAGAAAGAAACTAAAACAAAGAAGGATCCTAATCAGATGGATGTGGATGAGGTGGTGACTAATAGCACTAGTGGATTGAATCAAACTTATTTATAAACCACTCCATATCCTTGATCTTGCTGCTGTTACTGGGCTACATACTGTTCGAAGCGAGCTAAGTCATTATCATGTTACTATTGTTACTCAGCTATGTAGGCATCAAAATAGTTCTCCCATTGATTAGAACTCTAGACAAGCTAATTGAACTGAGATTTTTGGCGAATATGAGCAAGTGCTGAAATAGGCACTCCCTCTTCTTCTACAGTCTCGTTGTCCACATATCAAACATTACTATGATGAGCACTATGAAGAATGTGAAAGGATCTATTTGTGTATTAAACTTGGAGTTGATTAGGTGGTGTAGGATATTGGAAGTTGTATTTGGTTTCTATAATAAAGAAAATGATATGTCCTAAGGCTAGATTGTTCATTCTCTTATGGCGGGGATCTCTAATAACGGTCAGATGTTCAAGATAGCATGTAGATAATAAGGTCAGCTGCATTGAAGTCAATTTGAGCCATTATGAAGTAGGTTCTAAGAGAAAGAACAAAAGTAATGCTGATTCGATCACCACCTTTAGGAATGACAAAGTTTCTAAGTATGTGATAGAAGATTCAGGATAAAGTGTTTACATGGCTATGTGATATCTAAGATTGGATTCCTTAAGGGTGGAGTTGGTGGGGGTCCAATCAAAATCAGGATTAGTAGCTAGAACATAATTTTTTTACCATTAGTGGAAAGATGTAGAAAGACATGGAAGTCTTGGTAGGTAATCTCTAATGGACACCTATTAATATAATATTTGAGGGCAGTAACCCCACTATTAATCCTAAGGCTTACAAAAATTTTAAAAAACAATTAAGAATTTAAAGGGCAAGCAAGAGTAACAATAAAAGGGAGAGTGGTATAAGAGAACAATGGTAGTACTTTAAAGTTTACATCCTCCTATTTTATGAATTTGGAGGAAGTAATTCCATCATTCTTATATAAATATTTTAGGCCTGTTCATCATTGGACTCAGTAAATTTAGGATCTACTTGACATCAAGAGGAAATCCCAATGTGTTCTCGAGACCACTTGACTCAAGCAATTGCCAAGATTTACATCTATAGTGATAAGGGAAGAGAGTTAAAAGGATTTGAGTGAAGAACAAAGCATGAATTTGGTATATTTATATAGAATCAACCAAATCGTATAGTATGATCATGAGATCATACTGGAAAATCAATTATAATTAATTCAGTCAAAATTCAAAACCTTCAAATTTTTGTCATTTATTAGCTTATTATAAATCAAGTATTGGGTGCCCATAGAATAAATAAGCTCGAATTAGCATACTATCACCGATGAATTATCTATCTTATGAAATAAATTTAGACCATCAAATTAGCTTGAGTTCCACGAGCCCAAAATGGCAAGGTAGATTATTTGACTAAATTAGCCAAGGCAATAGTGAGTATGAACAATGAGTCTGTGTTGATTGAAGTCCACACTCATTGGGCCTTATAGACAACCATTTTATAATTCCAACTGGAAGAGTGATTACCAAATTTAAGCCACCAGGATAGAGCTTTGGTTAATCCTCTCCCTTCCCAACAAGTTATTTTTAAAAATCAGTTAGGAGAACATCAAGTAGTCAAAAGGAGAATTTAAGTTAGCATCGCTTAAAAATTGTGGTGGTATTATTTGGACATCGAAGAACAAGATGATTGGAGGTAATCTTAACTACTTCAGATAAACCAATTTATCAACAGATAAATTGCTAGCTTCATAAGTCAAGAAGTGACCATTGTGAAACATATTTATTAACAACATGTTGTATCGAAGAACTTTTGACAAAATGTGGCTAAGGTGTTTAGGGAACAAAGAAGCCGATAGGGTGGTAGCAAAAGTTCATAGAGGAGTTTGTGGTGCTAACCATTCAGGTCCCAAAATGGAAGTGAAAATTATAAGAAGGTATACAACTAGCCAATACTTGTGAAAGATTGTATTGATATTGCTAAGAGATGTCACGAGTGTCAGATTTTGGGTAAATTTATACATCAGCCACCAAATTCATTGCACCCTATAATTGAATCCTAGCTATTTAAATGTTCAGGCATATTTATAAGAAGGCTAATTAATCTGTCATCATCAGCTAGACACTACATCAATCTAGTAGTAACCGATACATATTTTATATGGGTAAAAGTGACACCATTCATAATCACATTTGAACATGAGATTAACTTCTTTACCCACAATGTTATCTATAGATTTGGTATACCACTCCATATAATCTCAGATAATGCTATAACTTCTAAGAGTACCAAAATTCATAAATTCATTTAATGATACAAAATTAATTAACGCTATTAATCTATATACAATGTAAGAGAAATTGGCCTTGTAAAGGCCTTCAACAAAATGCTTATAAAGCTGCTAAAGAAGATTTTTACAATGAAAAAAAGAGAGCGGACGAAA